GACTTCTCCCTACTTCTGCGAATACATGGCCACTCCTTCGCGGACTAAGTTGTTTGGGGTATTTGTAAACCAACTACTTAGTCATGCCAGTCCGGTATTCTTGACTTTATCTCGCCACAGGACCCATCAGGCTGCATACGTTTCCTTGCTCAAGTTAATTTATTTATCCTGATTGCAGATAGAAATACATTTGACGGTTATTTGGAGGCAAAAACCTGCGTATCATGAACTGATGGATCTAGATGACGTCTCAGTCCCGAAGCAGTTGAGGTTTTATTGGAAATTTAGGTACAAGCAATTTTAAGACTACATTCGATTTGGTATGATGACTAACAGAAAAGAGTTAGAATGGTCTAGCAAGCAATATCATTACTTTTTGTGCATGTTTGTGCTCAGGAAGGAAACAGTCCAAAAAACAGACATTGAAAATGTCCCATTATAGTACTGTTTCAAAGATGTTGGTAACACGTTTTCCCAGTGTGGCAAAATAAATATTTTTAACACTTTGACTGCGACTCCCATAAAATAGCCCGTAGTTTGCCATATTGCGCGTACCACATATGGCGCACGTCGCAGTCAAAGTGTTAAGGAAGATAGAATATGGTTCAGGGTATCAATTTCAATATCAAAATGACGAGGTCCGTTATTGATCTACGGGAGCTGCGAAACTCAAATTTAAGTCGTAACCCGTTTCCATCGCATTAGTAAAAAGCCTTCCGAGAAGTCTGGCTGGCTTATATAGAGAAATGTTAAGCTTTGTTACTGCTGTTAACTGTTGAACACTTTCATGTATGTAAAAAAACGCTCAATTGTATGGACTATCTCAGATTTAAAATATAATTCTATTGGTTGAGGCCGCAGCTACTTTCTTCTGTCATTAGTTCACAAAAAGCAACGATAATGGCAAATAAAGTAGCTGCTTGACAACTATGCAGAAATAAATGACCTATAAAAGTAGAAGATGATAATTGGCAAAAGGAAGATTTTTCCAAACCGCTACGTTCATGAACTCCTTACGCCGACAAAGAACAAAGGGGGAAAAACCTTGTTGATGGGATATGTGATGCTAAAAGCTTAATTGTTGAGTTAAAACTTTTAAACAATAGCCAAATTAGTGATCCAAGTGTCGAAAATAAATAAAACTTGAAAGACCCTATATTTGCTTACGCTGACTGAAAAGAAATAGGATGAAAAGAAGTAAGCAACACCGAAGAAGGGAGCTTCTTGAAGACGTCGAAAGAACGGATCAAGAGAAATCTTGGGCGCGTTTGTAGGCCAGCCGGAAAGCATGTCATTGAAGGTTCTGTACGAGTAGTAAGGACCTGTAAGAGACCAAAAACAATAAATTAACGAGGATATCTTATAAGACACTAATTGCCGCGAATGCAGCATTTTACGAATCGGATTAAAAAAGACACGGATCGTGGAGGCAAGAAATCAGAAACGGTTAATTGAATGTATCTTGTTGATGGCAGTGTTTCTTTTACGTATCACTTGTCGTCTATAAGTACCAAGACCTTTTATTGAACCTACATGTGACACAAATCAAGAATGATTTAGTTCAAAAATACGACCGGAGCATCAGAAGAAACATCTAGATGAGATCGGCTTGATGGTTAACCTTCGTATCCTCCTGAATTCTTCTCCAGCTTATCTGCTTCCACAAAAACGTTTAATATAATTATTCTTCTGCCACAGATGTTTCCTGTTTTAACTTAACGTGCTCCTAATCTAATGTTTTTAATTAGGTTCCTGCATTCCTTTTTGACTGTTATTTTCTCGGATTAAAGATTGGTTCTACACTTGGGTTCCTATCCATACCATATAAATCAACTTTTGTGTTCTTTATAAATAACCGAAAGACCAATACAGTTATTATCGAAGCTTATACGTTCTTCTAGTGGCATAGAAAATTTTATTGTGTAGTCAGCAGGAGTCACAGTCGTTATTTTGGACCTTAGCTCAGTGCCTATCATATGTGGAGTTTGGGCACGAACGCACGGGTAGGAAATCACCATCCACTTATACTAGACTGCAAACTATACTAAAAATTTTTGCTATTGCCTAAATGCCCTCCAGATGGTAGCGCTTCGTTCTTCTGGACAAAAGTAGAGAGGATAATCGGGTTTGAAATATGTACCAGCTTGAATCTGAATACTCAAGTTATAATAATTTTGAAGTACGAATATATCAAAAAATTTTTCAAAATAACCTTCGATTATAGAAAACGCTGTGTTTAAAATTCAGGTGAAAGATGCATATAAACAATAAATATCAATGTAGATGCTAAGAATTGATGTGCAGGCAGAAAAAGCTGAAAATGGAATTGTTAACATGTTCACGTTAATCAAATTACCAAAAGAAACGGGAATTCTGAAGTAAAATGTACTTCAACGTCGTAACTAAATAACAATATTCGACAGGACGTGAGAAGGAGAGGCAGTGAAACCAGTACTACCGTAAAGATAATTTATTCTACCGGAAAGGAGAACTTCTGTTAAGCCGCGAGTAATAAAAAAAGTTTCAGTTGCACGCAAGTGCGAATAAACTGCTTCGTATTAGAAGAAAATACTTGAAAAAATATAAACACAAGATATGCAGTTTTGTGGTCAAAAAACACAAAAAGTACATCTGGTGTACGAATGGGTAGAGCACCCCCTTTTCAAACAAAATGAAGGCAATTTACAAAGTAAAAAGAGGCACCTAAACGGAACCTACCGGTGAGCATTCCAACATACGAATACATATAGCACAGCAGGTCGACAGGCGAGGCAAAAACTCCCTTATACTTTAATCTAAGTTGCAATTTTTTGTATTCCTCTGATTTGTCATTTTTCAACTTCTTCAACATGTAAGTAGTTTTCCATGTGTCGTGCAGCTCAAATGCAACACCGACAACCTTGCAAATATGTAAACAAGTCGATACTTACCCTTAGAGTTAGAAATAAATGATAAATCTTGCAAAATGGGGAAGGTTTAGAGAATCCGAAGTATTCGACATTGTGAAAGAATCCGATGTATGCAAATCCCCAAATAAATGTGACATAATGGAGGTGTCTAGAAGATAAAAAATGGTTGCATTTCATACCTTGGACTTATCAAAGACACGAAGAGAATGAAACCGAACGCAAGTACGAAAGAGTGCCAAACATCCGTTCCACACACGACAATTGACAACGTAGCTCCAACACCGATGCAAACATTTCGGCGAAGGTCATGAGTTCCTTTTTGGACAAGAAACCCAGTAAGTAATGATATAACGAGAAAAAGCGCATATATAAGATCCTCCCATGGCATTATGGGCCTATTTCATTATGTCTATACAGAGAAGACACGCGAAAAGCGAATGACGCGCGGATGGTGATCAAACAGACCGGGTCAAAAAACACCAAGTTCAAGGTTGTTCAACTCGTCGGTTTGCAAGAGGTGCAATTTAAAACATCGCGAGTATTTCGGATAAGGTAGGAGAAATGAGTCAAACCTAAAATGCCAAAAGTCTGGAAAAATTGTTTGGTTAGGTTTAATATAAAGGACTGGAGGTAAAATATAGAGACTCTAAACTGATGCGGGACTGCGGAAATTGTCCTTTCTGACAAGGAGATTTGTCATAATCCTTCCGCTAATTAAGGTTATTTTTGACATACGGATGGTCTAACGGCCAGCGGCAGTTAACTTTGCAGATAATATAGCCAAATGAACATTAGGGAGTCTTGGCGAGACATAAAAAGCTGTTTTGTCTAATTGAGTTAAAATATGACTTTTTATTAACTTGACACAACTTTAAATATCAAACTAAATACGTTTTTTCGGTTGCCACTAAACTTAATTCTTACGTTACTGGCGTTTAATTTGTGGATACTTGAACCTTAGCTGCAACGATAGACAGAGTCGTATTCTACAGTCCTATCAAGGCTCTTCTAATTATAAGTTCGAAGGATTGCCAACCGTTGCGCTCAGCCTCAAAGTTTGTTTGTGGATTTGCGTGCACTTGGACGCATACTGGACTAATTCAAAGGTATCTGTTAGATTAGGACTGTCTTAACGCCCTTTTAAGTCTGAAAATTTAACTGCCTTTTTCACACTATTGACCCTCAAAAATATTTTGTGAGTACCTGTTCGGGCACGAAAAACTAGTAAAATATTCTGCTCCGGAATACCTTGCACACATTTTTTAAACAGCCGACAACTTAGTTAACCTCTAAGCCAAAAACAACTGACACAAATCTCTCCGCCTACAGCTGAAAAAATGGCCTGAATTTTATTTAAAGTCTCCCTTCACAGACAGAATCTTCAACGGTGTTTAGTTGTTCAGGACTTGCAACATAAGATCTCAGAATAATTTTTAAAGTGGAGGACTTCGATTCCTTCCATCGCCTACTTAAAAGGTGAATTAAGCCGGACATGGAAAGAAAAATTCTTAAATTGTCTTTGATCGGCAACATTAGTGAATATACTACAGGACCACTTCGACTACGGGCTCCAAAATTATGCTAGGAGCAAGGAGCAACTCAAGGCAATCCTATCAAACAAAGCCCTCCTTCTTCACACTCATAAACAAGTTATCTTTAGCCTGTCTACGCCCCCGTGGACGGCTGAAAAGCCAGGAACTTGTTTTGGAATCACAATCAAGACAAATGAAAGACGAGAAACACCTGACAGTCTTAAGGGGGGTATTAGTGAATAAGAATATGAACATTCCTTTGAAGAAGGCAGAAATGCTCGGGATTGCGACAAGTACTCGAGGAACCAGCTGCTCCAACAGACAACAGCAGTAAGTCGGCAATTCGCCGTGTACTGCATAAAGAACCCACAGACAATGAACCAGACCGGGAAGCAAAATAAACCCACGAGACGGACGTTTGCGTGCCAGTTTACAGGCTACTTCAGAGGAGAATGTATAGTAGTAGGTCGAGCTAGCTGTGATAAAAAAACTCCACAAAACTGCTACCCGTATTTGTCAGTTAGTACTGCTCTTCGGGAGGAAAATCTGCAGCTCGTTGAATGATATAAGGTCGAGTCGAGAATGGTTGGCACAAATGCACTGTGTAGTCCGTTTACCTTTTAATATTATGGAACCGGTATTCTGCACAACATTAGGTATGTCGGCAAAAGACTGCTCGATGTCGACTGAAGAATAAGACGGTTGCAGATATCAGAGTCAGTACCATAACTCGGAGGACGAAGGCTAGCACTGGAAGCAGAGACTGCGCAAGCCGCCTGAGCGAAAGAGAGTTTCGAGCGAGTCAGTACCCCAAAATTCCTGGAATGTAGAAATCTCCGAAGTAGTATAGAAGTATAGCTTTGCCGCCGTTTGCTATTTCTGAATATCTTATTCCCGATTGCAATGGCGCAAACTAAAAAGAACTGGCGAAACCTAAATGTGTGTGATAGAGAAAGAAATAAAAATATCGGGACTGCTCGGTCGAGTGTGGTAGTATAGGAGTTAAGTCTAAGAAGGTTAACCCTAACATCTACGCTTTTCTAGGCCCGTGGTTCCTTAAGGTGAGGATAGAAGACGGTGGGAAAGCCAGAGTCGAAAGAACCATATTTTTTAAATAAAAGTTAGGGGGAAGTTGCCAATAGGTCCGAG